AAAAAAAACAGAGAGAAAATGAGACCGTATTGTCATGAGTCATTGTATTTCATACACACATCACAGGAATGGATTACCCAATAGAGCACTATTTAACAGTCAGTTCCACTTGTTCTTTAACCTCATCCGATAACGCTTCCACATGCAATGTATGGTATCTGTCTAGCTTCTTCAAATTCAGTTCGCATGCCTACAAATAATCAACAGTCAGAAGAAGGAAGCCAAACAGAAGTCGCCTACCTGATACGCAAGAAACTTTGTTGCAAAGGTTACAGTAGCCTTCTCTTGGGAAATTGCAACACCTGTCACTTTAAGTCCACTAAATAGTTGTGCAATACCATATTCGTTTAGCGATGATGGAAATCCTGTCGCTATTACAGCGGACTCCTCGCGATGTACTGCAAATTAATTCAAAAGCCAATAATAAATTAACAGATACTTCACTGGCGGGGGGATGGGGGATGAGAACACTTACGAGGTAACAAAGATTGTGAGCCGGAGAGAACTGTATTTACTGCGGTTTGAATAGCATCTTGTTCGATTCGAGCATTCCCCGACATCGATGCGCCATTACCAATGCGGAGATCATAAGGCTTGTTGACACTGAAACAGGGGAAGTACTATTTCAGACGATTTTAAACCTTGCAAATTACTTACGGATCTTTATCGAGGCAGAGCTTGCTTGTAGCACGTGCAACCCACTGAGCAACATTACTAAACTAAGTAATTTGAAATTGCATAAACAAAAAAATGTAAAAGAAAACGATTATTCAAATGTTAACGGCTACATTCTCTGATACATTTCATTAGGAAAATAGAACAAATGAACTTTACCTAAACACAGAAAACAAATCATTCCCCTGCTGGGCAACGCTGGCAAACTTATCAATCGCATTCTCCAACAAAACTCCTTGTCTCACAAAACCATGAGCTGCGCTCAAACTGCGCATCCATTCATATTCAGGAGCATTCTTCTCCGGTAATATGTGCAGGACGAACATGACAGATGGCCAAT